ACAGCAGCAGCAGCAGCAGCAGCAGCAGCAGCAGCAGCAAAGCAGGTGTTGTTAGTAACCGGGCTCTATGTCTGTATTTTTCTTTAAAATAAATAAATTAAATTAATTAAAATAAACGAAAAAAGAAGAAAAACGAATAAAAAATAAAATTAATATGCGAAAAGGTAGCCGCCTGCAGCAACTGCTGCTACGGGGTGTATGTACACCCGAAACCAGCGGCGGTGGTGACCCTCTCTGCATAGCAGCAGCAGCAGCAGCAAAGGAGATAAAATAAAAAAGAAAAAGAAGAATTATGAGAATAAATACAATACAAATAATATTAATACTCTGACAGCATTGACATCTCCTTTTTTATTCTTTATTTAGCTGCCTATACACCCCAGCAGCAACAAAAAAAAAAAAAAACAAAAAACAAAAATTCTGCTGCAGTGTACATACACTGCAGCATAGCAGCAGCAAGCAGCAACCTTCTTCTATTTGCTTGTCTATAGGACATATTTATTCTTTTTCTTTGTCTCTTTTCTCTCTTTTTTTCTCTCTTTCTCTCTCTCTCTCTATATCTCTCAATAGCAGCAGCAGCTGCAGCAGCTGCAGCAGCAGCGTTGTTCTTTCTCTCCTTGGCGGTTTCTCTGCTGCCACAGGCACTACCAAACCCTAAACCCTAAACCCTAAACCCTAAACCCTAAACCCTAAACCCTAAACCCTAACGAGCAAGTTCCAGATGTCAAGACCTCAGGAGGAGGAAGAGCAGCAGCAGCAGCAGCAGCAGCAGCAGCAGTTTGCTGCTGCTGCTGCTGCTGCTGTCTGCCCCGATGCTACAGCTGAGTGGCACATATCATCACCCCCCTCAATAAAGGCAGCAATCCGACAGCGTATACGCAGCAGCAACAGCAGCAGCAGCAGCAGCAGCAGCAACAGCAGCAGCAGCAGCAGCAACAGCTGCTGCTGCGGGAATGCTGCTGCTGCTGGTTTCTCTCCTCATAAGCCTGGCGATTGCATCGCCTGCAGCAAAATGGATAGAGTCAGTAAACGTCTGTTTGCGTCAGCAGCAGAAACAGCAACAGCAGCAGCAGCAGCAGCAGCAGCAACAGCAGCAACAGCAGCAGCAGCAGCAGATGGCAAAGCAGGACTTGTACAGTCGCGTGTGCTTCCTCTTCCTCGCTCTCAATCCCAGCAGCAGCAGCAGCAGCAGCAGCAGCAGCTGCAGCAGCAGCAGCAGCAGCAGCAGCAGCGTGTGTTGCTGATGTTTGGTTGTATATTTAATATTTTTCGTTTATGTTTTTATCGTTTGCTTCGGTTTCTTCATATCTGCTGCTTGCTGCTGACGCCGCTGCTGCTGCTGCTGCTGCTGCTGGGCCCCACCCTCTTTGCTTCTCTCCCCCTCACTATAAGGAGACTATCTGTCTTTGTGTTTCCGGGTTTGCGTGTATTTACACCATCTATTTCTCCTCTATATGAACACTCTGCTGCTGCTGCTGCTGCTGCTGCTGCTGCTGCTGCTGCTGCTGGTGCTGCTGGTGGTGGGGATGCTGCTGCTGGAGATTCTGCTGCTGCTGCTGCTGGGTTCGATATACTCGCGCTGCTGCAGTCCTTTACCCCATTCGCCCAGCAGCAGCAGCAGCAGCAGCAGCAGCAGCAGCAGCAGCAGCAGGGGGAGGGTGTGTCAGATGTATGCATGCAACTGCAGCAGGATTTCTCTCTATCCTCTCCCTCCTCATCCTCAGCAGCAGCAGCAACACCAGCAGCATCAGCAGCAGCAGCAGCAGCAGCAGCAGCAGGAGCAGCAGCAGCAGCAGCAGCAGGATGCGCAGATCCATCAATAGAGAAGATAAAGGAGACATATAAAGACTTACTAATACCACCTCTTGCTGCTCCTGCTGCTGCACTGCAGCACAAAGAAGAATATAAAAAAAAAATAGAGGAAGTAGCAGCAAATGTATATTTTGTTTCGGGGTATGGTCTCGCCAATTGTATTCTAATAAAAACTACAAAAGGTTTAGTTGTTATAGACACCACAGAAAACCCAAACACCATGAAACAAATATATGCAGACTGGAAACAAATATATAAAAAAAAAAAAAAAATGCAGCAGCAGCAGCAGCAGCAGCAAGAGCAGCAGCAGCA